CTCTCGGCTCGCATTATTCCAGAAAGCTCACTGCATTGCTTTTATTTGAAACGGCGTATGTGGGGTAATAGTCAGTCATAGTATACGACTACTCTTTGTTAGTATACATATATGCTTATGCAAATTTGCGTTGTAGTTTTTTTTTATTAAATATACTTATATCTTTAAACCCAAACGGACTTTCAGACGTATTGATGTCATGGATGCATAGGTGCATCGGTGCACAATGATACAAATATACGTGAGTGTTTAACATAAAACAAATATTTATTTTCTATGCATGAATGTGGTTATATAAGCAAGAGTGTTCTCTTTGCTTTGTTAAGTGCAAGCGTAGCCGAATACACAGGTATATATTGGGTTGCCCCAAATGAAGGCGGCGACTCTTTAAATTTTTTAATAAACTTTAATCAGTTATGTAACTTCCATTTATTTTTGGATGACTATTCACCATATTTCCGGCAACAGCATTATTCCACGCTCATAGAACTTCTGGCCTTTTTCTGCAATAAAAACTGATTTTATAGCGTTGTCATTTGCGAAAGTTTTGCCATTTAATGATTTCTGCAAAGATCGGAACATATGGTAATCTGATGGTGCAAGGTCGGGGCTATATGGTGGTCTCTCAGAGCGAGTGACCAAAGACGTGTGGGGTCTAACATTGCCATGTTGTAATATGACGCCTCTACGATTGACCAATTCTGTTCACTTTTCGCTGATGGCTGTATTCAATTTGTCTAGTTGTTCACAGTAGACATCGGAATCAATCTTTTGGTTTCTTAAAAGCAGCTCAAAACATACCACACCCTACTAATCCCACCAAACTGAAAGCATAATCTTATTTGGTGGATATCAGCCTTTGAACTGGTTTGTGGCGCTTCATGATGCTTGGACCATGATAATTTTCAATTAACGTTATTAAAAACAATCCATTTTCATCTCCAGTTATGATTTACTTCAAAGGCAGATCATATTCATTGCGTCAAAGATGCATATCAAAAGCGTTGAAGCGGCTTGTTAAATGAATTTCTTTCAATTCCTGAAGTACCCAAATATCAAGTTTTTTCACTAGTCGAAGGCGTCGTTAATGTTTATGAACAGTAGATTTTGGTATACTTAACTTCTCTCAAATCTCACGTTTAATTACATGATGATCCACTTTTATTAAGGCCTTCATATCGTGATCATCAGCTTCACTTAGGCGACCTGAAAGTGTTTTATTTTTGAGTAGAAAGTCCCCCGAAAGGAATTGGACAAGCGAACTTCGACGTTGTGTTTCTTTTAAGACCTTATCACCATACAAATTATGAAACTTTTTAGCGACGTGCGTTACATATTTTCCTTTAAGGAAATAATACAGTAAAATATGGTGAAAATATTCTTTATGGGTTCCATATTAAAATTGACGACAAGCAAACAAATATAACCAAAGTTACGCCTACCTATTTTTTCTAAAACAAGCTGGAAGTGACGGGTTTTCACTGTCAGAAGTAAAAATATAATGAAATTGTCACAAGTTGTTAAAAAAAAATGATCAACGCCGTCTATATGAAGAATCGCCGGTTTCTTTTGGGACAACCCAATACATGAGTGTCAATACGTACGGAAAATCACTTTATTCCTCAAGAGAACATGACCTGACCCCTTCGCCTAAGTGCTATCAAACAATGGCACACGGCCTGTGTAAAAGAGGAACATGTCTTCGAGAGTCATGTGAGAGTAATGCAACTTGTGCGCATGTATGTGGGTATGGTTGCATTATGTACCAGAGAAAGCAACAGTGGTAGTAACGGAAATTTTTTTTCCTGCCAATTGAAAAATCTAAAATTGTGACAATTTATTGCTAACTAACTACAACAACAATACGAAAATGCAAACATACATATATGTATATAAGCTAACCCTCAACTTGTTGCTTACATACATAAGTACGATTTGTTGCATATTCAACCTGTGTTTTTACATACATACGAGTACTTGCATTTGCAGGGTCGCATGTGGAGTGTAAGCAAACAATATTGCTTTCAGAATGGAAATCTATGTGTGATACTGTTTAACTAAAGAAATGCAAAATGCATATAAAATCAAGTTTACTCATATGCATATATATATATATATATATATATAGGTAGTAACACATAAGCATTAATGCAAATTGTTGATATATGTATATACATAAATATGCATATACATAGATATTTAAGGCAATTATATGTTTCCACTATATTTTCTCTTTACACGATATTTCAAATATAAAAATTATATATATGTAGCGACCATAAATACTTTAAAAAACTGGTATAACCTTAGATTTAATTTTGCTTTAGGCGATTAAAAATTAAACGATTACATAAATGTCCTATTGAATATTACGATAAATACGTAAAAGGTTGCTCAGAATTTTGAAGAAAAGTTTATGCAATATTTTTTCCATTAAAAAATTAAACGCAAAGGAAAATCATTATATTTTCACAAATAACTTATTAAGTGATTGATTATTCTTTTTTTTTTGACCAGAAAAATAAAATGGAAAGATATTAACTCAATTTTTAGCAAATATATAAAAATCGTAAAGTGAAATTGATATCCGAATAAAAAATAATTTGGGTATTAATAATAATTAGCGAGCGATAATTAAAAATTAAATAGATAAATAAGTTATGCATTACAGATATTGCTCACGCATTTCTAAATCTAAAGAACTTGGATAAGTATTCTCCTAAATGCGCCAAAAACACTCGTGCGATAATTTTGTAACCCTTTAATTTATATTAATTACGATCTAATGAATCCTTAAATTGACTCATATTTGCTATGAGATGTCCTGACGAAACAAACTACCTTTGATCATTCGAACATTGAGGTAAAGATAGAATATGTAGTGCGAAGCATATTGTGTAGGGTAAGGGAAGATTTTAACAGCAATTTATTTCTCAAGAAATTAACCTAAAAACAGACTTCTATGGATTGTGCCAAGTTACCAAATTTCGTCGAGGTTATTGCTCTAATGAATGTCACTATTGAACCAAGGTAGTTTTCCACTGCACCGTAAGCAACCTTGACGTTAATGCCGGGTGGGTACCTGGGAGTTATAGAAAAGTACATAAAATAAGGAAATTTCAGTTTTCATTTAAGTTTGATAACTGCAAACAACTAGTACTTGCTGCAGACTATTCCAATTAATAATGATTACCAATAGTTTTTTGCGAGTTTTATGTTATACAGGAATATCCATTTTATATTTTCGAAAATCAATGTAATGTAAATGCATTTAAAATAATTTCATTTAGTGAAATCCTTAAATTTTAGACCTTGGTATTTTAAGTAAAACACTGCATTATACAAATGGCCTGCGTGCGCATTAGTGCAAGCTCCGATCCGTTTGAGATAATTTTCTACTATTTATCTGTATAAACACGGTCTTTCGCTGTCTCGGAGCCCTGCAAAAAATACAACCGTGGAAAAAACATATTATTCAAGTCGTGCTTTTCAATTTCAGGCAAAAGATAGTCGGATATAATTTGACGATAAAGATCCGATTTGATTGTTACAGTCTCGCCATGTCATTATTTATTTTTTTATTTACAATATTTATAAAACAGTAAGATGCAATAACACCTTTTGACAAAGAGCATACCAGTATGTGTTTTGGGTACAACCCCAAAATTGACAATTTCGCTTTCTTGGATTTTATTTTAATGAAGACATTATATAATAATTATAATTGATAGAGTAAATATTTATAATTTTAACTTAGTAAGTGTAGGCTTAAAGGTATGCACAATATTTGACAAATTTTTATATAGTCATATTAACTTTTAACAAATATCTGAAGAAAATCACATACTCTTGCTCTCACGGGCTCCACCAATTCCACAGCTGACGTAGTACTCAAACTTATACGACCTCACTTTTAACCAAGCTACGAGGCTTACGTATGATATGTGTTGGTTATTATGGTTAAAATTACACCATTAACTATTAAAATTATTTCACTACGACAAAAGAAGCTCAACCCCTCAATATTTATATTACTGTATATACAAGCGTCGTGGTAGTGGAGTGGTTTGCATAGCGTACTGCCATTCAGATGGCTCTGCTTCAAATTCCGGTGCGACCAACTTCCGAAAGTTATAGAAAATTAATTTAAATAAAAAATTAAATTAAATTTTCTAATTGCGGTCGCCCCTCTTCAGGGAATGACAACCCCTTCGAGTGCACTTCTGACATGAAATAAAAGCTCCGCATAAAAAGACCATCAGCCGTTTGTAGGCGGAGCTCGGCCGAAAATCGCTTCAATGGTTGCAAAGCGCCAAAGAACGTTTGAAATTCTGAAAAGCTTCATCGGAACCATGGTCTCTGAGATCTATAGAAAATACAGTGGTAGGCATTTGCATAAGCGCACACAAATTTGTTGAGTTTTTAATAAATAAAGGCTTTAATTATTGCACTAAAAGATGGTAAGTTTTTCTTTTTATTATTTTACATATTTTTAACTTAAAGTTATATCAATTCAACAGCATTTTTCAGTAGGCATTCGTTTAAGTGCACTCCACTTTGTATCACAAATAAAATAAAACTCAAATTTTTATGTCAACCTTAGTGGCTGTTATGGCCACATTGTCTTTCAATAACAGCAAAAATGCGACTTGACATAGACTCAATTAGATTTTTGTGCAAATCCCTGCTCGATTCGAGCCAACATTGCTGAATTCAGATTTTTGGATCATTGATATGAGATTTTATTGGAGTAGGTCAGTGTACGCTGTGGAGTTCACGCGGCTAGTTATGAGTACCAGATTAAGCTCGGAATCGTAGGAAAATGCTCTCCAAACAAGGCACTGTCACATCCGAAATTTTGTTTCGATTGCACCAAATTTTGAACCTTAGATCGTGCCAGTAACAATTGTAGCAACCTGGCCCTTAAATTTTTTCTATTTCGAAAAATAAATTTCTGTCACTACTTTATCCATAACATGAATTTTTTGGAAAATCCTAACCGTTCTTGCTTGTGCTGTGCTGTTAAACGTAGCTTGCTCTTCAATTTCGTCCATTTATCGTTTGGAGAAGCATAGACAATTCGTTGAGATGTTTCATCGACCACTAATTTCGTTTTGCTTTGGCTGCTGCTCAATTTATTTTGTGTTGCTTCATCACGTATATTCCCCTTTTTGAAGGAGTGCACATTTTTTGTTACCTTTTGTCGCCATCTTTAATCCATAATTATTGCATTTTTTAACAAAATTACGGATTACATTTTCTAACTTACTTTCTTCCTTTAATAATTTAACTGACATGCGTTATTCTTGCCTCTAATAAGATCCTTTGAGCATGATCTAAATCATCAATAATAAACACATAAATAAATAAAATTCTACACCAAGAACCTATTCCAATTTTATCTTATTATATTTCGTCTAGTAAAAAACAAAAAATGTCATATTTCAGCTCCTCTTTTAAAAATATGAATTTCTTGAATATGCGCTCATCACTACTGCGATTATTCCTCAAAATTTCAGTATGCGCAGACAGTTGGCTCTATATGTGAAAAAGTGAAATCGTTGGCGTTTGCTAAGGACATTATTATAATTTATTTATTTATTTGGAATATAATTATAAATAATTACATAACAAGATTAAGTCAACTGGCAACGGAGGCTATCGACCTCTATAATTTATCTCCAGAATAAATATTTCCGATCGTACTTTAATATGATGTTTAATTACAACCTCCTACCACCTGCATGCCAGCGGATTTCCCATTCACGCCATATAAAATTAATTCCATAATTTTGTTATTGATATTTTATGAAAATTAAAATTTAATTTCACTTCACACGCTCTTAAAACAAACCACAGGAATACTTTAACGACAATACAAATAAGTAATACATATAACACATACATATATAAGTGATGGGTATATAGAAATAAATGCACATGCATACATTACAATATATACTCGTACTTTTATTGTATATAAAAATATAAAACCGTTAAGGTGCAGTAATTCAGTCATATGCATTCAGTACACGATAAACCCTTTTATAACGCCATTTTATTGCCAGCTATTTTAAAATATTGTTACGAGCGTACGCTCTGTGCGCGTCAGCGTGTGCGTGTGCAATGCTGTGTGCTTAGCTGGTGCTATGTATCGATTAATTTTCACCTGTTATTTCACTTTAATTCAACCTTGAAATCGTAACTATTAAAACAATTTCTGGGGAAAACTAACAAGCACACACACATTAACACCTTTTATATATTCACACATATGTACGCACAAAGGTACGATTATATGAGAGTGTACATACACATGTGTACATTTTAACCATAGAAATTGACTTTTATCGTGATTTACAATCGCTTTGGCCTTTGTGAATTGCATGCCAGCGAAAAACCACACAAACACACACACACATGTACACATGTATAGAAACTCACTAATGTGCTTATTAATACTTTTATATGTTTATGGGCGTATATATATATATTGCATATATACATATATAGGCCACATCGTTAGGTGAAAAGTATAGGTGATTTTCTTTCACTGGTAATGTGCTTTTACAATTCTTTGCTTGTGTGTGCTTTTCGCTATGAATTTTTTTACCGCAGCGCGATAAGCATTGTGGCTACTCTTTAGTACTTCTCGGTCTTTCATTGCATTGGATTTATATTTGTTACACTTTTTATAACTTTTATTTATTTACCCATACTTTTATGACTGTTGCATTCAGGATTTTCTTAGCTAGTTTGCAATAAAAGCAATGAAAAAGAAAACCGTAATAGTGCCAATGGTTAAGCCCGTTTTCGCTATTTCTAGTATTACCTGTAAATATCAATGTGCGATATACAGCTTTATGGCTGTATACATGCATACGGCATACGTAAAAAGCCAAACATACGAGCGCATTAGAATTATTCCTAAGAAATCTACGTGAGTCACTCTGGAGTTATTGACTTAACTTCCCATTAAAAAAAATAAACATTGGAAATTTTTTTTAAGAAATTACAAAAGCTTACAGTGCTGAAAAAGAAAATCAATGTTAGAAAACTTACAAGATTTTTAGAATTCTTAGAATTTTTCAAAAATTATTTTTTATTTAATTTCTTTAAAAAATTAGCTCAACTGTGATTTATGAATTCAGATGAATTTTCCTCAACTTTCGCAATAGTTTTCGTGATATTAAAAAAATTAACTATAATTTTTCCTTTACGATTTTTTAGTGCAATTTTTGTATTCTTTTTTTATTTTTGTTTCCTTAGCAGAACTTCATTTGATCATATAAGGAAATATTGATCGAAATCCACTTTGGTCCTTTATAGTTATTGAAAGACTTTGATAAAACTTGGGCCTCCTTCAAAAGCTTAATTATTGGTTACGAATTCCGCATCCTTCTGTATTTTTTATCGAGCTTCTCGTCCAATTTCTGGTGAACACCTCTTCCTGCACGTGGAAGTATCCTCCAACTAACTATTTTATTTTTTTATGAATATTGGTAATTTCGTTTCAAAACATTTAATTTTTAAATACATCTATTATAATTTGCAAAAATGATTAAAATATGCTTTATAACTCCTCATTGTACTTCCATTTTAAATAATGTCTTGCCTTCGAATAATTTCATCAAGATGGTTTCTCTCTCTTTGATTAAAATACGAAATAATTTATCACTCTATCCTCTTCGCGCTCATTTTCAAAAATTTCTATATACATCCAGTTTCTCTTGAGAATTTATTTTTTTACTTTGATTTGGCAAAATTGGTTGGTTTATTAAAAACTTCTTAAATACAATTTTATGCGTATTTAAGGGCACACAATTGCTCGGCATAGGAGTATCATCATATAAGTTTTGATTGTATTCAACAAACACTGCCGTAATATGATTGTGTTTTGAAACACTTTTCTTTATTCTCTTCCGTTACACATAAGGTGGCATTTTTTTAAACTGAGATTTTCCTCATCATATATTTTTGCTAAAAATAAATAGTCTTCATTTCACTAAAAAAAAATTTTTTTGCTATTACAGTTAACATTTAAATAAAAAAAATTTTTATCTATGAAATTAACTGAATGAAGTAAAATAATTAAACTTATTTCGCTAAATTACATCCTCAATTTTGTGACCGAGAAATTTCGCTTGCAATAAAGCCATATCGATCTTGTTTTGTGGTATAGTACACCATTTTCTGCCAATACATATTGCTCAAGGCGTCTTCTTAAATTACGGACCAAAATAAGTTCATTATCATACGACCATAACACTCTGAAACGGCAGTGACAGTCTCGCCTCTATGGTTTTCTGAGAAATAAGGTCCGATTACAACTGCGAACCAAATATACCACCAGATATTATTGTTATATATTTATTTATATATATTTTTTTTTTTGGTGTGATAACATATATTCAATTCTTTAAGGATTTTACGAGCTCAAATGTTACAATTTTGCTTACTTACGAATCCCACAATCTACGTATGTGTGGCGTTGTGAGTAGTCAGCTGGGTTTAGTTGTTGAGTGAGCTAGACTTTCTATAAACGTACGCCATTATGTGCCGTAAGAAGGTCCTTGTTTGAGAAATAGTCACATTAAGGTATCGGCCTACAGTAGCGATATTTGAGGTGGAAGGATCAAACCAATGACAATATCTGTAACCAGTCTCTTTCGACTTCTTTCAAATTTTTGCAAATCCTTCAGTTTTTGAAAGATTATGTAGACCAAAAACTACTCTTATAGCACGAAACGTAGCCACATTTGAATCACTATTTTTGCAAAAGGTTTTACCATTTTTAACGCATGATGAGTTAAAGAAATGTGGATTTTTAAAATAAAATGAATTAACTAAATTGATATTTTTAAAAGTGCAAAAAGTTAATACTTTTTCTCAATCAAATGTTAAATCAACTTCGAATAATTAAATATGTGCTATCTGCGGCCAGAGCGAAAATGATCGGACAAATACAGTTCACCTGTTTTGACGAATTTTCGACCCAACATCATTTTTCTGAAGAAATCGGTTGCCATATGATATGGTCGATCGACCTGGCTTTTCTTCGTTGAGAAATATCTTAAAAACAAAACATATTAAGACTTCTCACTCTAATGAATTTGGTGACCGGTCCTTGTCTCAGATTTGTGCGCAAACTAGTGCTGTTCCTTACGTTCGAAGTACCTAAATAATATTTGCATTCCCAAATTCGTTACAACTCGAAGAAATCATGACACATAACTACAACTTGAGTGGAAATTTCAGAATCGATCGCCCGAAAGCAATTTTTTTTTTAATCGAATAACACAGATCCCAGAAACTTTTTAATTATTTCCTCCGTATTAAACACAAAGAGAGTATTAAGAAAAATTACTGTTTACATTAAATCTGATTTAATTTTACGTTTTTTATGTTACATACGAGGAGCTTAACAACAGTTCGGTCAGTTGGTGACTTTCAATTTGGTTTGGCTAAGTCTAAAAAAACCAAATCCCTTTCTGGTTTCGTCGTAATTTACAACCAATACAAGTATTCAGCGAATGCCAGATTAAAGACTATTCCTGAGTGTTTCCAGACCAGTCATTTTTCCGTGTAGAATGAGACCCGAGAAGGTCGACCATAATTTGATAATTGACGTCATTGCAGCTTTGGTGAAGTCCAAAATTGATGAAAATCACAATTGACGCTGGACATGACTGCTAATAAATTGGGCTTGAATTTAATGGCTGCGAGTATTAAGTAATCATCTAGGATTCACGAAGAAATTTTCTCGTTGGACCAAAAAGAGGCTGGAGTGCATTTTTCTTAAACAAATTAAAAAATGGCCAGTCTAGCTAATCTCGTAAAGTAACTTCTGAAGACGAGTCTTGGTTCTATAAGTATGGTATAGGGCCCAACAGGAGCAAACCTATCTATGAAATCTAAGCAACAAAAAACATCTGCAAAAGTAATGATGCCAGTTTACTTTATCCGATCTAAAACCGTAGCTGCTATTCTACTGGAAAACAGTCAAACGGTAACTGCAAAATATTACACCAGAAAGTGCTTACCAAAATTTTTCAAAATTTTTAAGGAAAACAGGAGGAAGGAGGATTTGCGTGGCTGCTTTTTATATATTGAAAACATCTCAATCTATTAAAATAACGAGTAATTTTAATTAATGTTAATTTTCGATAATTTTGGCACGTTGTTCGTACCAGGATCCAAACCCTCACCTCCCTAATGGCAATATCTAGCCACACCACCTTTTGGTATTCAAAATAAAAGCTATACATCGTTAAGTGATAATATTGGAAATGTTGAAAATTTACAATATTTAGCAATTTAATAAACAAAATTATATTGTATTTATGGGCGTTGATTTTTTTTATAAAAACATACGTTATTTAACAATTTAATTATCTTTTGGTT